CCCCCCCCCACCTCTCTTTACCTAGAATAGCTCTAAAAGTGAACAATGTACATGTACCATTGTTTAGTGTTACCATTCGAATAGCAGATGCCCATTATATTTTTGTTTTGGTGCAATTATGATAGATTTATCTACCACAATGCCTTTACAAATTATGATTGAATCTGTTTCCAGCTGTTAGCAAAAGTCACTGTAGAACAAAACTCCACAACTTATAATTTGTACTTTACAGGGTCTCAGAACTGTGACTATCTGGACCCTGTGACCAAGTCTTTGAGCGGGAATCTATACAAGAACAGTGTACCCTCCTCGCCGAACTCCTACGACAGCAGAGGCTGGCGACACTCCTTCAGCACATCAAATTCTGGCTGGACCAACAACTCCAATTTTGGCTACGCTGCCAACTATAACTTTAATAGCCAGCTGAGGAGTATAGAAAACCTAGAGCGGGAGAAACTAATGGCCCTGTATGACGTGCCACCCAGACATATACGCAAGGTAGAGAACCCTAAATCACCCAAACACGAGCACGAGGACTCATTACAGCATTCTCCTCACATGTGTGATGATGGACATAACCTGGATCACTCGTCCTCCAGTCTGAGTCTGGCCAGCTGTGAGTCGTCCCCGACTTACCTGGGGTGTAAGGCCAGCGTGTCTGCCAGTGCTCCTGCTCTCTGTGGTTATGGAGCCTACTCTCCATTCAATGACAAATACAAGAGTATCAGCTGTTCAGTTCCAAACCACATTGACGAGTTAGAGGAACTGGACCGTGAGGAAGCACTGGAGTGTCTCCAGAGGGAAGAGAGGGGCCTACAACAGGAAATCTCGTTACTCGACGAAATGCTACAGGTATAATACAAAATTATTTTCATATCAAGACCTATCACTACAGGTATTAATTCAGATAACAGAAAAAAAACAATGCTATGTCATGAGAGCATCTGTTTAAAAATGCCTTTATCTAATTGAGTTCTATAGCTGTTTAAAAATAGTTTACCGTATGTTCTGTGTGTACTATTTGATGCACCAGGCATATATAATTATACATCATCATATACCATGCCAGGTGTGCTTATGACGTTAAACCCTTCGTTATAAATATAGTCCTGTACGTGGGGCAGGTGTACACACATGTTGTCTGCACAATTTTAGGAATTTTATAATAAATTTGTTTTGAGAAACATCATTAGACAGGACACCATAGTTTCTGCAAAACAAAAATAAAAAATAATTGCTACGAATTAAGCAAGGTTGTAGTGTTTGTAAATCTTTTTAATTGCATGCTGATCCGATGAACATACCAGTAAGTTTACACACCTGTAGGATATGAAATGTTTAAAGTAGATTTCTAGTGATAAAAATAGTACTATTACCTAATTGCTGTAAACTCTCGTATTTAAAAAGAACCATTATGTTAAAGATATGAATGTACACTGTTAGTTTCATGTTTAAGTCCATTTACAGAAGTGAAGATCTAATTAATCTCTGTGCTGTATACTAAAGATGGGTTCCTACTGATCTTCCACACTATCCTACTGATTTTCCACACTATCCTACCGATCTTCCACACTATCCTACTGACCTACTGATCTTCCACACTATTCTACTGATTTACTGATCTTCCACACTATCTTCCACACTATCCTACTGATCTTCTACACTATCCTACTGATCTTCCACACTAAACTACTGATCTTCCACACTATCCTACTGACCTACTGATCTTCCACACTATACTACTTCCACACTATCCTACTGATCTTCTGCACTATACTACTGATCTTCCACACTATCCTACTGATTTTCCAAACTATCCTACCGATCTTCCACACTATCCTACTGTCCTACTGATCTTCCACACTATACTACTTCCACACTATCCTACTGATCTTCTGCACTATACTACTGATCTTCCACACTATACTACTGATCTTCCTCACTATCCTACTGGTCTTCCACACTATCCTACTGATCTTCCGCTATATCCTACTGATCTTCCTCACTATCCTACTGATCTTCCGCACTATCCTGCTGATCTTCCACACTATCCTACTGATCTTTTGCACTATCCTACTGATCTTCCGCACTATTCTACTGATCTTCCACATTATCCTACTGATCTTCCGCACTATCCTACTGATATTCCACACTATACTACTGATTTACTGATCTTCCACCCTATCCTTCTGATCTTCCGCACTATCCTACTGATCTTTTGCACTATCCTACTGATCTTCCTCACTATTCTACTGATCTTTTGCACTATCCTCCTGATCTTCCGCACTATCCTACTGATCTTCGACACTATCCTACGGATCTACCACACTATCCTACTGATCTTCCACACCATCCTACTGATCTTCCGCACTATCCTAATGATCTTCCACACTATTCTACTGATCTTCCTCTCTATCCTACTGATCTTCCACACTATCCTTCTGATCTTCCACACTATTCTACTGATCTTTTGCACTATCCTCCTGATCTTCCGCACTATCCTACTGATCTTTTGCACTATCCTACTGATCTTCCTCACTATCCTACTGATCTTCCACACTATTCTACTGATTTACTGATCTTCCACACTATCTTCCACACTATCCTACTGATCTTCTACACTATCCTACTGATCTTCCACACTAAACTACTGATCTTCCACACTATCCTACTGATATTCCGCACTATCCTACTGATTTTCCACACTATCCTACTGATCTTCCACAGTATCCTACTGATCTTCCACACTATACTACCGATTTACTGATCTTCCACACTATCCTTCTGATCTTCCGCACTATCCTACTGATCTTCGACACTATCCTACGGATCTACCACACTATCCTACTGATCTTCCACACTATACTCTATCCTACTGATCTTCCACACTATCCTCCTGATCTTCCGCACTATCCTACTGATCTTTTGCACTATCCTACTGATCTTCCGCACTAACCTACTGATCTTCCACACTATCCTACTAATCTTCCACACTATCCTACTGATCTTCAACACTATCCTACCGATCTTCCACACTATCCTACTGCCCTACTGATCTTCCACACTATCCTACTAATCTTCCACACTATCCTACTGATCTTCCGCACTATTCTACTGATCTTCCACATTATCCTACTGATCTTCCGCACTATCCTGCTGATCTTCCACACTATCCTACTGATCGTCCACACTATCCTACTGATCTTCCACAGTATCCTACTGATCTTCCACACTATACTCTATCCTACTGATCTTCCACACTATCCTCCTGATCTTCCGCACTATCCTACTGATCTTCGACACTATCCTACGGATCTACCACACTATCCTACTGATCTTCCACACAATACTACTGATCTTCCACACTATACTACTGATTTACTGATCTTCGATCTTTCACACTATCCTACTGATCTTCCGCACTAACCTACTGATCTTCCACACTATACTCTATCCTACTGATCTTCCACACTATCCTACAGATCTTCCACACTATACTACTGATCTTCCTCACTATCCTACTGGTCTTCCACACTATCCTACTGATCTTCAACACTATCCTACTGATCTTCCACACTATCTTACTGATCTTCCACACTATTCTACTGATCTTTTGCACTATCCTACTGATCTTCCACACTATCTTACTGAGGTTCCACTCTATCCTACTGATTTACTGATCTTCCACACTATCTTCCACACTATCCTACTGATCTTCCCCACTATCCTACTGATCTTCCGCACTATCCTACTGATATTCCACACTATACTACTGATTTACTGATCTTCCACTCTATCCTTCTGATCTTCCGCACTATCCTACTGATCTTTTGCACTATCCTACTGATCTTCCTCACTATTCTACTGATCTTTTGCACTATCCTCCTGATCTTCCGCACTATCCTACTGATCTTCCACACTATCCTACTAATCTTCCACACTATCCTACTGATCTTCCTCACTATACTACTGATTTACTGATCTTCCACTCTATCCTTCTGATCTTCCGCACTATCCTACTGATCTTCCTCACTATTCTACTGATCTTTTGCACTATCCTACTGATCTTCCGCACTATCCTACTGATCTTCCACACTATTCTACTGATCTTTTGCACTATCCTACTGATCTTCCGCACTATCCTACTGATCTTCCACATTATACTACTGATTTACTGATCTTCCCCACTATCCTACTGATCTACCACACTATCCTACTAATCTTCCCCACTATCCTACGGATCTACCACACTATACTACTGGTTTACTGATCTTCCACCCTATACTACTGATTTTCTGATCTTCCTCACTATTCTACTGATGTTCCACACTATCCTACTGCTCTTCCACACTATCCCACTGATCTTCCACACAAGCCTACTGATCTTCCGTACTATCCTACTGATCTACCACACTATCCTACTAATCTTCCCCACTATCCTACGGATCTACCACACTATCCTACTAATCTTCCGCACTATCATACTGATTTTCCACACTATCCTACCGATCTTCCGCACTATCATACTGATCTTCCACAGTATACTACTGATCTTCAACACTATCCTACTGACCTTCCGCACTATCCTAATGATCTTCCACACTAACCTACTTATCTTCCACACTATCTTACTGATATTCCACACTATCCTACGGATCTTCCGCACTATACTACTAATCTTCCACACTATCTTACTGATCTTCCACACGATCCTACTGATCTTCCCCTCTATCTTACTGATCTTCCACGCTATCCTGCTGATCTTCCACACTACACTACTGATTTACTGATCTTCCACCCTATACTACTGATTTACTGATCTTCCTCACTATTCTACTGATTTTCCACACTATTCTACTGATCTTCCGCCCTATCCTACTGATCTTCGACACTATCCTACGGATCTTCCCCACTACCCTACTGATCTTCCATACTATCATACTGATCTTCCACATTATACTACTGATTTACTGATCTTCGATCTTTCACACTATACTACTGATCTTCCTCACTATACTACTGATTTTCTGATCTTCCTCACTATCCTTCTGATCTTCCACACTACACTACTGATTTACTGATCTACCACACTATACTACTAATCTTCCACGCTATCCTGCTGATCTTCCGCACTGTCCTACTGATCTTCCACCCTATCCTTCTGATCTTCCGCACTTTTCTACTGATCTTCCTCACTATCCTTCTGATCTTCCACACTAGCCTACTGATCTTGATCTTCCACACTATTCTACTGATGTTCCACACTATCCTACTAATCTTCTAATCTATCCCACTAACTTACTGATCTTCCACAGTATACTACTGATCTTCAACACTATCCTACTGACCTTCCGCACTATCCTACTGATCTTCCACACTATCCTACTGATCTTCCGCACTATTAAAATATGTTTGTTTTTTCTATTAACAAGGTAGTTCTGAAATTTGTATTAATATCATCTTTGAAAAAGAATTGAAATTAAAGTCACTGTCATGGTATGTACTGGAGTTAAAGAACGGTTTAGCACGTCATGTGACCAATTGCTTAGGTAACATTTTAGTCGTACAACTCTCCTCTGTCACTATAATTTTTACACTTAATGAAAAAAGTAACACATCAAAATATATTATTAAAAAAAGTAACATCAAAATATAGTAACTGGCATATTTCAATTACTTAACACATAAAAACACAGGTAAATATATACTATACCTATTTTGAAGTAGACTTGTCCAGTCTCCATGGCCAGAATTCCAATCAGCGATTTTTTTCAGCCTAAATTTTACAACAGCCTGTTCCTAAATGAATTGGGAAAATATAATGTATTATTTTCATTGAAATTGGGAAGATATTCCTGATGTTTTCTTCATTTTGGGAAAATAAGCCAGGGGAAGCAGCCTTTATTCAGCAGTAAAATTACCCGGTAGGCAAAAGAAATCACTGCCAATTGTTCTAGTACAGCTTATAATCCATTAAGGTGGATTTTTGAAGGATACACCAATAAGATATTTGTTCTTATGGTCTCAGAAGCATCACTTATTGAAAAACTATCATGTCTCTAATATAGTGATATTGTATATCTACAGGGTTGTCAGTATGATGATCCCAGGAGAGGAAGGAACAGGAGGGACAGAAATAAACCACCGCCTGTTCCTGGAAAGATCTACAAGTCTTCCCGACGACCAGAAAATGTACCTACCACATTTAATCATGGTGCATTTTATCAAGGGCCCACTTTACTCAGTCCAAATCTTGTTTCAAAACTTAAGAGGATACCATCAAATTCAAAACTGTCAGCTCCTCTCCCTTATGTGAACTTGGAGAAGTACGATATTGGCGATGTTGACAATAGTCATGTTCATGTTTCCTCATCATGTGCTGACAGTGGTACATGGAGTGCTCCTTGTGTTCCTTCCGGGAAAAAACATTGCACAAGACGATCAGGTCCAAATAAAGAAAACTTTAAGAGTTCTCCAAGGCAACTTAGAAATAATGTTCACTGCCTTAGAGGTAAGAGTTCTTCAGAATCTGAACTGTCATGTAGATCTGTCTCAAGTGGAACTAAGGAGGAAAATATCTATGCAAATGATTTCCCAAGAAGGGAGCCATCTCCACCCCCACCTGCACTGCCACCAAAAGGACCAGGGCTTCTCAAAAATGGTCAAAGTCGTATTGAAAAAGACCAAGCCCCACCAGTTCCTCCACACCGACCTCGTAAACTGCCTCAAGGGATGACCGACCCAGCATCCCTGTACAAGTATCCTAAGAAAAATGGACAACAAAGCAAATGTGAAGTGACCACAGAGCCTTCAGATTCGTACCTTCTGATGGGTGGGTTTGAGAAAGAGGAGAAACAGCCTACACAGGATAGAGACCTTGAAACTGGTTTTGGCCGGGAAGTAGTTCAGCTTCCAACAAGGAAGGTTGTCAACAAATCTGACAGACAGCAGCAGAACACAGTCTCACAACAAGGGGCTTATATGGAAATGGGATCCCTGTTTGAAAATGAGAATGAATTCAAGGCAAGACAGGGTGGGTCGGCAAGTACTGATGTGAGGCCTCAGTACAGCCGGTCGTATAGTGCTTCAGATGTACTGGATAATGACCAACAAAATTCTACAAATTTAAACCAGTCCTTTAATACATCCTCCAACACATCTCTCATCAGGGAGGAAAATTATCTCTTGATGACTAACTTCAAAACTCAAAAGAGAAGTGATTCTGTTGAATTGGCACAACGTCGACCTCATCAGTCCATTGATTTAACAGCTGATGGGAGCACGCTAAATCTAACAAAGAACATTGCTGATACATCATTCAGCAGTGACACCTCAGATATCGATAATACAGCAATACCTTTCCCTAATCTGATGAACTTTCAACAACACACAGTCACAACTACCAGTACCAAGCCGTCTAGGAATTCCACCTGTGGGCCTCCCAACAATACCACCAGTAGTGTTCAGACAGACAAAGTAAATGAAGGGTCAAGTCGGAACCCTGGCTTCCTCACTCGTCTCATCAGGAGAAACTCCGGCAACAGGAAAAGTATGTCTCAGAGCCAGGAAAATCTCCTGGCCTCCAGTTCCAGTGAAAGCTGCCTGGAGCGCACTGCGTACCAGTCATCGAAAGAGCCGGTACAATTGCGCCGGGTTCTGTCACAGTCCAGTGACTCTTCCTCATCATCCTGTGGCCATCACCACAGTCCCACACTGCCACTCAGCGACCATCGCAGGTCATCAAGCTTTCCTAATCGTGCAAGTTTCTTGGAACAAAAGCCTGCTAATAATGACAAAGTGCGAGGACTCCATCAGGGAATGCAAGGCAATTATTTTTCTGCTTTATCACTTGACGATGAAATGCAACTTCTCGAGTGTGATAATGAGTTTACTGGATCAGACTCCAGTTCACTGAATGACATTAGCAAGGGTGGCCGGTCTCAATCTGGTTACAGGGGTCCATGTGAAAGCACAGGAAGTGAAAACGGGGATGATGATTGTGAAAGTTTGTCAGATAAACAAGCCCAGAAACTGCTACTCTACTCCAGGCACAAAAAGTATAAGCCACATGACTCCATGGTTTTTACAGCACTACAGTCAGATCCTCTTAAAATATTAGAGTCTACTGGGTCAGAGAGTAGCAATAGCAGTAAAACTGATGATGAAAAATTAATAGAACTCTTTAAACATGGATCAAAAACGTCATCATTTGACGATCAGCATTTGTACAAAGTGAAAAGTCGATGTACAAGTGAGTACAAAAAAAGGCGAAGTTTACCAACTGATGGAAGCAAAGCTCTGTCCCCAAAGGAGGAAGCTTTGGCTATTGTAAAACATGTGTCGTCTCTGCCACCTTTTGTCCCTCCTAAGTTAAAACATTACCCCTGTCCCCTGTCTCCTGTACCAGAAAGTGTTCCCATGGTGTGTAATAGCGAGAACCCTCTCCCCAGTCATGGGTCTGTATTGACTAGTGCATCTGACACACCGAAGCGAAGCAGTGTGGATCCAGTGTTTCAAAAGGAGCTAGCTAGAGCTACACTAAGGATACAACCTCCACCCCCTCTTATTGAAGAGGATGAAAATGTATGGGTCCAGAGGGACTCCACCAACTCACAAGAAGGTAGGTTAACAAGGCAATATCATAACAAACCCACTGTCTAGATAACAAAATCCTACATCACTGTTAACTCAACACATACCAGAGTTAAGTCTAACGCATGAATTCATCTCAAGATCAAAGTAGAGGTCTCTATCATGTTTATGTGAAACTGGGGGGGAAAAGAAGATTTTTTTACCTTTGTTAAATTAAATTTTCCAATTTTTAAAGTCTTCGCATGCAAATAAATGTCAAAGTCCAATGTAAAATTTTACATCGCATGATCATGAACAGTATAAAAGACTAAAGGTGTGAAAAATCCACCGATGCAGTTGAGGTAGATACTTTCTGATATGTCATAGATAGGAAACATAACTCTTTTATATCTGATACAGTGGAGACCTGTAATAAGTGTCGGGTACAATAATAGAACTGTTATACCTTTATATCTGAAACAGTGGTCACCATTACAGGATGTGATAGGGAGGAGTCGGTGGAATGACCTGTAATTATATAGCTATGCTTACCTGAAAAAGTGGTCTTATAATGATAGGGAGGTGTTTGTTGATTGAACTGTATTTATTACTGCATATCTCACTAATGGATTACTTGTAAATTAAGACTCTGGTCAGTTTTGTGATTTAGTAATATACATATATAACTACAGCAAATGTATAGCACATGAAGTACAGGCTGTACAATAATTCTGAATTTAGAAATGATAATGTCATATCATTTTTCGCATTGCTGTATGTACTACCTTTGGTTACAGTGAAGCCTGAGTCTGCCGCGGTGGAGGATAAATTCCTGGCCCTAGTTGTGGAGGTGGAAGAGGAGTGTGATCAGGATGACACGATATCCATGTCATCACTCGACAGCAGTCTACCCAGCTGTGATGAAGGTGGCATCCGTACTAGTCCAGCCTCAACTCTGCTACGACCTCGTTCAGGGAAGGAGTACAAAATGGTAGAGCGTCGTCGTCCACTTAATGACAGTCTAAGCTCAAGTCCTGCCCAGACGCCTCAGTCTCCATCAGGGGACACTGTGTTCACATTTGAGTCATGTTCACAGTCTCAGACAAGTGTTTATAGCCGGGAACGAGAGTCCCCGAATGTACCAAAATTTACTCGCACCGATAGCTCAGTGTCAAGCCGTATTCACGAGAGGTTCAGTCCTCCCAGGACTTATATGAACATCGACATGACTCCTCCATCGTCACCACTTTATTCTATGTCAATGCCCCCAGAACTAATCGAACCTCAACTCAATTATGCGGAAATCGATCTTTCTCATTCGTCTAATACCAGGGCTTCTAAAAAATCTCGTAAAGCTTCTCAGAAATCGTTAAAATCTAATACTATTGAATATGCACTGATTGACATGGAAGCTACAGTAGCTATACAGAGGGCAGGACGTGAACACATGCAATCTCGGGAAGACAGTCTGCGTAGATCAGATAAAAAATTGTCACTGAGTAACAAGGAACATAAGCCATCTCTGAGTGAGTTCGGACATTCAGATATTGGTTCTATAGATAATAAGGACAACTTGGATAGGGGCCAAAAGGAGTCTTCGGACAGGAGTGCAAGGGAATCGCCTGAGAGGAGTGTGAGGGCATCACCGGAGAGGAGGGACACACTCTCTTCCCCAGAGGGTCCTCCATGTAGGTCGTCTCCCCTCCCAGAGGACACACCCCTTCCAGAGAGGAGGTCTAGCTTCACATCTTCTTCATCCTCCGATGAGGAGGAATGAGATGGAAAGTGATGATTTAAAATAAAAACAATGGAGGAAGAGCAGTTATTCACTAATCTACACTGTAGAATTACACCAGGATGTGTTTGGTGCCAAATCTGTAACGTTGTGAACCGGTTATTTTTTTTTAGTTTTTGTGACATGAAGCCTCACAGAATGAAGGCATATATTAAATTGGGATTGATTTCCTTAATGTGTAGTATGTATAGTATATTAGATATTTTATTAAAGTATATGAATATGTATTTATTCAAATGCTGAGTGCTAAGAGATACAATTTTAAACACGATATATAGATTGTAATATATTCAAAAAGCAAACTCAAAATCATTTTGTCTTGTACGTAGTTAAAATACAAATATATGAGAAATGTATCAAAATTGCAGGGTCACAAATATTGTTCTGTCTCTTCAAAAGTATGCTTTGCTGTGCCAAGTTCTATTTCCTACATGTAGATATATAAATATACTATATCCAGACTTTTCACATCAGAATTTTGAGATAAATAATTTCAAAATTAGATTATTTAAAAAAGGTGATTAAGGATTTTGTCCCCTTTGTTTATATTTTGATTCTAGATAATTAAAGGAAAGAATTGAGAGTGTAGCCTATTAGTCCTGCAACCTCATCCTTTGCTGCAGTGGTTTGATTCTGCAATGGTTGGAATGCTTAGACTAATTTGAACAGGAAAGGAAACATTTCCCCCAAAACACAATTGAAAAGTGCGGCTGGAGTAATGGGACTCGCCTTTTATAAGCCAGAAATTAGCTTTAATAAAGCTTATTTCATTATCAAGGATAATTACAGATATATGTGAAATACAAGCACTCAGAAAAAATAAATGAAATTCACTTGAATTAATTTATCTCCTCCAAATTCAACCCAAAGTTACATGTAGGAATATACCATACTTTATATCATAGTGCTTGGATCCAATTCGAGGATTGCGGCATGTCTATTATAACTCTGTTGTGATGTTTGTTTATAATGTTGTCGATCAATAATTGCAAGTCTTCCTCCTTTACATACATATTTGAATTGGAAACAATCTCAAAAAGTCAAAATTTAAAAGTACATTATTTGTTATTTTTGTACCAGTTAAATAAGAGTGTTTAGATCTAAAGAACAGCTTGGTCAAGGAAAGAAAGTACCTGTTACAGTTTTCAGCTTATATATATCTTGTACTGTTGTGTTTAAAACTTCTATTACCTGGTTTTTGCTGTAGATTTAATTTGATCTGCTTGTGGATTTTTTAATGCATTGTTAACTCAATTCCAACCTTTGAATTGAAAGAGTTCAAATTTGTCTTCAGAGGTGAACGAGTCAAATTCCTAGAGAAAATTATCATTCTGGGCTATAGAACTAAAATGATTGGATAATTAATGTAGACAGCATTTGATTTTTCACAAATATTTAATATGTTGTGATCACCTACAAAAATGTTAATGCTGCAAAATTGAACAACTATACAGTAACCAGTGTATCCATTATAAACATTGTTGGCAGTTTGATTGAAGTTCACTGGTGATGGAGATTAATGTTTAGATGTATTATAGACAAGCAACATAGGGCGAAATTCCAATTATCTTCTCATTGTAACTAGAAGTAAGCACTGGTTGTTTTTGCTGAAGTTCATATTGTTGTTGTAAACAGGGCAATAATTCTTAAAAATAACTGTCAAGATTAATGCCAGTAACATTTTATCTACATCCTGTGACAAAATGTCTACAAGCTGATCAGTTTTTATTTTCATATTTGTGTAACATGTAATTTGTGGGAGCATTTTGGTAGCTATTACATCTGTATATGTCATGATATGTCTGCACTTGTAATGATATCCTTTCTACACCTCCTTTTAAGAGGAAAAGACTTAATTGGAGATCAAGAATAAAACTCAGTCATGGTTAAAGTCGACATTGTGACCTTAAACAAAACAACCTAGAGTTATATTCAACTGACTTAGGGCAAGTTTATTCTGAATTTGGAACATTAAATAGGTATCCCATTGGCATTCCTCAAAAATGGTGTTAATTTACCTGATATGTTTTTAGGACATGTTGCATACAGGAATGTAAGTTTGCATTCAAATGTGAAGATGTTATCAAAATATTTACTCTACTAGAGTTATATATAAGATACACAAGAACAAACATGAATTGCAGTAGCACTTTCTACAAGTTTTGTTGTACTAGCTTCTGATCAAAATAATTCAAGAACTGTCTATTGAAATAGTAGGATTTCATAAACACGGTTTAGTGAAGAACCTTACTTGTCATGAAAATTCCAAACTCAAACCTTTGTACTTGTAATGGTAAAGTTCAACTGACTGCTAGGCTAAAGGTTCCAAAACTTTTATTGGGAATATCAGAAGAAGGCAAAGGATCAGGACTTCTACAGCTGGTGTGTATTGATCATGTTACAGGACTTCTACAGCTAGTGTGTATTGATCATGTTACAGGAATGAGGAATGCTTGATACAATGCATTTGGATCTAGTTAAACTGTCAAAATGAAATCAACATCTTAGATAGTAATGTGTTATGTTGTTGGTGTCAAGGTATGGAGTTCAATTCATAAAAAACCTGGAAATGTTTTATACATCAGTGACAAACATTTTATACAAGCTGCAAACAATGTTGATGGACAGATGCATTTCTGTCAGTTGTATGATGTTTCGAAAAAATTGCAATTTTTTTTTTTTTTCAAAATGACCAAAGTTTAAATTTTTGGTATATGTGTGATAAGAAATATTTTTCTGTGACCAAAAAATTGTATAATGAACAAGTTTTTTAAATGATTTTATATTGACTTTTATGAAATTTCTTACTTTTTATATTTTATCAATTTACCTGTAGGTTATTGTATTTACATTTGTGGGTGTCTATTTACGTTACTATGTATGCTATAACTGTTATTGGCTCGAAGCATTATTGAAATTAGCAGCAAATTGTCCAAAAAAGTTAATGCAGGTCTTTACCCAATATTTTCTTTTAGTTTTATAGAAGTACCAAAACTTTTCTTCTGGGTGCATTTACCTTTTTGAATATGTGTACACCGTACAATGTACATGTAGCACTGTACCATAAATATTCTGTTTAGATTTCATAGAGTGCAAGTTAAAAAGCACTGGGAGAACTCAATCTTGGTATATCTAATAATACCAAAACTTGAAACATTACCAGACATTATTGATATTGGATGTGCCAAGAATGAGGAATCATTTTCATATTGTGTACAATACAGAGTATACAGTAGATGGTGTGCCTGCCTGGTCACATATTTCTCCTAAATCTGATGAAATACACCAGACAGCTTCTATAGAATCAAGGTCTTTACCATCCATAGTTGTTGATGTCGTGATCATCTTGTGTAAAAAACTTATGGTGTCCATTTTTTATCAGCATTCTTTTTATTGGCAGATCTCCCAGCAGGCTACAGCAAGCAGCCAGTCAACCCATGTGTATAAAACCACATGGCAATGATTTATATAATATCGATATACTTATACTGAAACTTGATGCATGTGATTCATGATGATATACACATACTTTGCATGTCTGTGAAAATCAATGTGCTTTATTTAATACTATGTGCTGTCTCTTTATTGATTTCTCTGCAAAATACATTTAAATGATGTTATTTATGTTTCAATACTGTTATGAATGTATGAACTGTATGCAAAAACTCACAATTAAGTGGAAAGAAACAAAAACTTAGGAATCTTTGTTTGGGATAAATGAAATATCCAGCCATACTGTTTATACAAGTCTCATTGTTACTAGATACACAGTCCATAATCAGTCGCGATACATCTAGTACTTTCTGCATCGTTACGCAACCATTAAGTACAATTTACCAGGAGGATTAAATTCCAGCCACAAATAGCGACAGAAATAGCCATAACAATTAATGCAACTACATCCCAAAGGAATGTTTAATCAATAAACTGGTCCATATTAATGGTACATACATGTACACCGCCCTCTAAGAACTGGTGCGTATGTATGTATCAAGAGTAACTATGTGATGTCAATCAAGTATAGCAACAAAATAACAAATATGGCTGAATGTTTACTTTTTCCCCTACAAATGTTCTTAACTTTTCTGTGAAGCTTAAAAGCTGTAGCTAGAACGAGGTATCTAAGGTAGCTATAGTGAGATATCACAGGTAAGCAAGGTGGAAATAGTATAACCATAGCAAGATCTCAGTCACAGTCGGATAGAGATTGTAATTCTAGGTAGACCTCATTTAGGGCGAGGTTGGAAAGGTTGCACATTTCTTTGTTTCTTAGGTTTAATTGAGTGTAAAGGTTTTGCATCCAATCTTGTTCAAGATATCCTCAGTGTTCTTCTTCATGAAGAAGGGGATAGTTAGGTCACTTTACTGTTGTAAAGTTCATGATGTATTCAAGTCTATTTTCGAGAGAGGAAGGTTGACTTTAAACGTATGGGAACAAAACAGCACAATATCGACAAAAAATCTGTTAAATTATTGAAGTTTTTAACTGTTCCATCACTAGACCTTTACAAAGTTGTTCAATACTCAAAATTTTAAATCTTCCAGTTGAAATGTAAAAATTAAAAACTAAATAAAAAAGACAACTGTTGATCTATTGTGTAATAGGGGTGTCACCTCGACACATGGATATATATAATGCACCTGTAATGACCATATCAAGACTTCTATACACATAGATTACATGATAGTATAGAATATTTGGTCACTAGTATAGGCCTCTATAAATGTGTGCTACCTGTGCTTGTAACAGTTCCAAGGCAATCTTACCAGTCCAAATTGAAGTCAACAGAAGAATAATAGATCAACTTATGTTGTTCTTAACAATTGTACCGAGATTAAATGCATCTTCCCATTTGTCAACCTTCCTTTCATTTCGCAAAGAATGCCAAGTTAAAAATTTGTCTTCCTCATTCCTCTGGACTATCTTGTCATTTATTTAAACATACTCATGCAAAATCAGGAAAAAACAAATACAATGTTTCTATGTATGATTTTTTCCTGAATTTTAAGAGATTGTTACAAGTTTTAGCTGTCGTGAATACAAAAAGTACACACCAATTTATAAATCTATGTATGTTTGAAATGTATGTATAATAAATGGTGCTTTTTAAATTTTATTAAAATTTGATCAATCTTTAGTGGATAGATTCTGCTTGCTCTTTTTCGCTGCCAAAATTCTTTGTAGAATTAACATATATATATTATGTAGTGTTTTCATTGCAATTTCATCTCTGGTCTAACATAATATGAATAAACCTATTTTAAAACAATCATTTGTCTCTGTCCATCTTTTCCCGGTAAGTATAGAGTACACTAGCTCATTATCAGTTAATTACACATATACAACTGTATTAGAAGTATTGGGAACTATATATCAGTATAATAAAAGGAACATCTTTTATCAAAAATTGTGATGACGTCACTAATGATGATTGCGACATCCAATAAAATGTCAGTCATGGGTTTTTTGACAGCGATTTCCTGCTGTTTTGATTTTGGAAAAAGGGTATGAATGGTTTTGAATAAAACATCATATAAATTTCGAAAGAATTTAACAAACATAAATGAGCAGGGCAAATATCATACACATTAAATGTATACACTCAACAGGAAACCATTCAATATTCTTATTCATAAAGATACCAGAAGATCTGAGAAACAACTCCATTAAATTCATAATTCCACCTTATTTAAAGTCTTGAGTTTCAAAATCCTGTTCATAATAAGTGTCTTTTACTCTGATGGGTTTTGATACCTGGAGCTTACCATAAATACACAACGTATACAAAATACTGTACAGTGCCTAATTTTGCCAATTTTGTTTTGAAACAAAGTCACAGGGTTTAAATTTTAAACAGACTCTTATCAGGCAATAGCCCTGATTGTATTCCAAGGGGTCGCGGTGGCCAAGTGGTTAAGGGGTCGGACATTCTGCTACCACTAGCCCTCCACCACTTGGTCACGGGTTTGAGAGTCGCCAGGTACTGGCAGTAAGGGGTGGTATTTCTCTTGGAACTCCAGCTTTCCTCCAGCACTAAAACCTGGTACATCCTTAAATGACCATAGCTGTTAATAGGACGTATAGTACAAACAGACTAAAACAGTTTTTTAAGGGTGTTGAATTGCAGTTTCTATTTCAGGTATGTTTTTAGGACAACGATATACTGAAAATATTTTTCCAACAAAATCCATGTGCCATACAGTAGTAGGTAGGAAATGGAGAAAAAACAGACAGCACAGGAACAAATTCTGGTTTAAACTCCCACAAGGAAAATCCAGTTCTCGATTTATCACTAGTTAATATGAGTTTTGAGTCCTATCAATCTTTGCTGTGCTTTTTCTTTACCATGTTTACTAGCTATGTTAATCGCTAGCAAGTTATCAACCTCAGAATCAAAGTCATTACAAGAGTACAGGTCAAACATCAAGTTATTGCAAGGCTTTCTTACTACTTGACCACTACCCAATATGAGTACAGGTCTTACAACATGATGATGGTCATAAAATGCAGGCAGGTCCGTTAACCAAAAGTCAAAGTCACAGCAAGGTAAAAGCTGATGACCATTTGGTGAAACATCCATAAATATGTGACCCAGAATAGGACAGTTGCATGTCTGTATAGAAAGGTTAAGGTCAGGTCAGGTCAAGTCATGGGATCAAATCACTGCTGTGCTTGTCTGGACTGTATGTGTTAACTGCTTAAACAGTTTCCACTAAAAGTTAAATAACTTTTTGAATACGACACTCTTCTGTGCAGTCAAGGTAAGGTTAAATGAAATTTCATAATTTAGATTGACAGTTTAAATTATCGTCCAGGTTGAAAGTTCATTAGGGGTATATATAATATATAAACAAGTTAATAAAGGAGAATGGACCTGTGTTAAAGGATGAGTTTATAAATGTACCATAAACCTGATTAACTTGGAATAACCTTTGAACATTTCAATCCTGTGTTAAATCGATGTATCACAGATTTATAGAGGTTCGATAACAAAGCTTAAAATGTACTGTCCATCTGTTAAGCGCACTGACCATCTGTGAAACATACTGACCCTATGTAAAACGTATTGCCTACCTGTAAAACTGACATCAGGGTTATGTAAAACACACAATCTGTAAAAATGTTTTTTTGGTAAACTATTGACCATCTATTAAACATAATCATCGGTAAAGCACACGGAACATCTATTAAACTGACAATCTGTAACAGATACTGACCATCTGTAAGAAATACTGACCATCTTTACGAAATACTGACCCTGACCATCTGTAAGAAATACTGACCATCTGTAAAGAAAATAACTGATGACAAATCAACATACAAGTAAATTTATTTTAATAAAATGTTTCTTGTATTCATGCAAACACAATCACTTGTATGTATGGAAAACCTGTTTTGTGAATCAACATTAAAAAACAGAATGCATACATTAATGTGATTATCCTTACTAATCAGTGCTGCTGCTTGTCACATTTAAGTGTTTAACACGTAACATTGTTTCCCAATCTAAAAAATTATGCACATAATCATGTAATAAAAACAGTTTTGCACAATTAAAACAGCAAGTTTTCCATAAGTGTCCTAGTGAATAAAATGTAGATTATCTCCATTAGTTTATTGCTTCGTTCAACTCTTAATTCAACTTCAGCCAGCTTGTCATTGAATTATTTAGCATCTTCAAATTATTTCCATCCATAATTTCAAATGCCACTTGAAAACAGTTTTTTTTATTCCTACATTTTCTGTAATGAGACAATCCAGTTTCAGAATCTTGATAACTTTCAAGCTTAACATAAACAATGATTGGTAGACACATTTACTGTGTCCAATAAATCATTAACAGCAGCATTATATTTCAACATTATCATGATTAGTGGTCTTTTTTATTAACACTAGCGAAACTTGTCGGCACCATTGAGTTATAACATGACTTCCTATAGCACTGAAGGGCGCCCTGTGGCTACAAGGTTGTACTGTAGGAGTTCAGGATGTTCTGTAGTAGAGTAGCTATTAAGGGTGTCCTGTTGCTATCATAGTTGTCCTTTTCCTATCAAGGGTTTCCTGTTGCTATGGTGCCGGTCAAGCCTGACAAGGCGTCCTTTAGCGGTGTTTGGCATTGAAGGCATCCAGTGGATAACTGATGAAGGCAAATAATTTGCTAGTTTTACAGTCCTCCGTTACCTGAGCTCAACCATATCTTTCCTTGTCTTGGGCAATCTCTGCTTGCCTCTTCAGAATTTCAGCATTCTTTTTCTTTATCAGCAGTATTCTTGCATCTAGATCGCTGAGGTGGCCAGGGGGTTCTAGTGATAAAAATAAGCATTTAAAGCTAAATTTCAATTCAAAATCATCTTCATTACCATCTAAAATTAAAAGCCATGAAATGAACAAAATCATTCAACTATCTTGATTTTATGTGGATTTAATTTTGTTTTGTCAAACAGTCAACACTTCTTTAAAGAATATTGTGCAGGCTTTATAGAATATGCACGTAACAGATTTATGTTCATACCAGAACGAAATCGAAAAAATATTGTTCAATCCTTAAGTGTTATGTGTTTGCATTCAAAAGTTTTAGTTATCATTAACATCCGAATATATTTTCAATATTGAAGTGTGTGAACAGGCTAACATCACCATAACGTTTGCTTCAAACAGTTGTCTAATATTACTCAAAGCAGGAGGAAAATCATCAAGATGATGCTGATCAAATTGTGTTTAAAACTGTTAATTTCTGTTATTTCTTCTTGTAATGCTGATAGAGGAAATTGCAGTGGAAATGTAAATATAAGGGTTTGAAGTAAAGGCATGGGAAGGTGTTAGATCCAAATAAAGAACCAGTACCAATACGATATGTTGTATTTCATTCAAATTCGAGACATAACAAAGAAGTCACAAAAAACAGTTTTGTACCTATGGTGGCATATTTCTGCCATCGAGTTGGCGACTTTTGACTACATAATCTTTTAGTTAGGATGTCAACAAAAATAACCGACGAGTTGGTGTCACATCCGAGCAGAAACACGTCATAAAGCCGAGATCCCGACATGCTAGATAATTATTTTGGATTTATCTTGGCAAGTAAATTAGCAAGTCCACACATTCTTCAGTTTATATCGACATCTTCTTGTGTGATGTTCACATCTTCTTGTGTTATGTTCACATCTTCTTGTGTTATGTTAACATATTTAAGTCTTAAGTAGTCAACTCAATAGCAGAAATATGCCACAACTGTAATATCTATTACAGATGTCTGAGGATGTGCAGTGGACCTGAAATACCTGTTACAGTAGGGGCTGGTTTAGGTGTATCCTTAGTAACAATAGTCTTTTTAGGTAACTCTGAGTCGGTTGTTTCTACCCTTCTAGTAACTGTCACTTCATGTCGGTCATCATCGTGTCTTTGCAGTTTGGCTTTTTTGTGCTGAACAGGTCTTCCTAAACGGTCATGAATGGACATTCTTTTTGTTGGTGATGTTTCTTGTCGGGCTGGAATACAAAAGTAACATGCTGATTTATTAAGGCAAGCGCTTCCTGTCTAAATTGAATTCATATTTACCGCATATTAATTTGTAGTATTTGTTTTTCAAAGAACAGTGGAAATGATATATTAAGCAAATACAAATGAAAAGAGTAAAATTTGAGACATCATAGCAAAATATTTCTATGAATATTTTATGATTGACAGAGTTTTCTCCCTTGATCTATATCTACTGCAAAAATATAAATGTTAAATATCCTGTTATCTAACCAAGCCAGAGATAATTATGTGAAAACACAGTGCGGTATATATCAAAACATATTTCAAGAAGCCTTTGTTACCTTGTGATTCCTCATCCCTCCACACAACCTTGGTGTGATTGTGACCATCACTGTCCTTATCCTCCTTAGTTGTAGGTGACCTTGACCTCTCCTTGATCACAGATCTTTCCTTGAAACCTTTGTTGTCAATGGTTACAGTAAAGTTCTTACTTTTAGCACTAGAATCCTCCTTCTCTTTCACTTTCTCCTGTTCACGCCTCCTCTTAGACTTGCTCTTTATTTCCTTCACTGATTGTTCTTGTGATGGCAAATCCTTACCGTTTCCTTGAGCATCACTCGTTTTAGAACTAACAGAAACAACACTTGTCAATATTTTTTTCGAAGGTATCTCCTTTTCCGTTGTTTTTTCCTCGTCAAAATCCATGAGTCTTTTCCTTCTCTGCTCCTTAGCGTTTGCTTGTCCTTCTTCAACTGCACTGTCCCTGTCAATTTTGTCACCATGATTTTCTTTTTGAACCGGATGATTAGCTTTGTCACGATCTTTCTGATTTGATCGACTACTAGTACCTTTGCCACTGTCTTTCTGAACAGGTCGACTATCTTTGTCAATGTTCTTCTGAACAGGCTGATTACCTTTGTCATTATCTTTTGGAACAAGTCCACTGCTAGTACCTTTGTCATTGTCTTTCTGACCAGATTGATTACCTTTATCATTATCTTTCCAAGTTGTACGACTACTTGTATCTTTGTCATTGTCTTTCTGTACACGGCGACTATCTTTGTCTTCATCTTTTTGAAGAGAACGACCACCTTTTCCATTGTCTTTCTGAACAGTTCGACTACTTTTCTCGGTTTCATATTTATTAGAGTTATTTTTGTTTTCGTTGCCTGCTTTTTCTACCAAACTCGACATTTTATCACTACCAACATGTCTTTCTCCATTGATATCTTTCAGGGATTTGTTTTCTTTGCTGAAATTTTTCGATGCAGTGCCAGAGTTACTCACTTTGCTCCAATTTTGATAAGTATATTGTCCTTCCTTGGCATCCTTATCTCTGTCTTTTTTGTCCATATTTCTGTCCGGCCGTCTGTCTTTTTCCGTAATAGAATCTTTATTTCTATACCGATCTCTCCTGTCTCTCTCTCTGTCGTACCTGTCATCAGCCCTGTCTCTATCCTTGCCTTTACCATATCTATCCTCCTGATCATATCGACCTCTCTTGTACCTGTCTCCCTTACTTGATGCACTACTCTTATTTCTAGCAGAGTCCATATCCTCCTTTCGGCCAACCATTCTTGTCCTGTTGTAATCTTCCTCTCGTTTTTTAATTCTTTCCTCTGCTTCCTTTTGCCGCTTGACTTTCTCTCTTTGTCTCCTTTCACGTTCAATGTCTGCTGTTTCTCTCTCTGTCTTCCGTGAATTTTTATTTCTCCACCCCTCCTCGCTCGAGTCACTATCACTGGAATCTGAAAATGAGCTGCTGTCACTGCTACTAGCGCTACTTGATTCACTTTCTGATGAGGACTCGACAGGTTTTTTACCTCTGGAAGATTTTTTGTGTTCCTGTACTTTTTCACCACTCTTCCTTTGTTTTGATTCGTTCTCTTTTCTGCTTGATTGTTCCTCTCGTGTCTTACTTTTCTTTTGCTGTGACACTTCTCTTTTGTGTCCATCTAAATTTTTATTGTCTCTTTCGATCTTTTTCTGTCTTGCTGCTAGCCTTTCGCGTTCTTTCTCAAACATTTCTCTGCTTTTGGCTGATTTTTTAGACTGCAATGATTTGCCTTCAGAGTCTTTTTCTTTTCTATCACCTTTCCTACTATCCTTTCTGCTGTCCAATTTTTCATCCATCCAATCCTTAGTGGAAACTTTCTTTTTTAACGCAGCTAAATCTCTTGATGGAGATACATGTTTTCTATGTGGTGACCTTGACCTTGCAGAATTTGTCGATTTTACCTTCTCAAAAGAGGATGACCTTGACACACGATTAGTTGGCTTTGACCTCTCAGATGATGATCTTGACCTGGAAGTAGGTTTTTTGGAGTAATTAGGCGAGTGTGCCCTAGCTACAGCTGGCCTTGATCTACTGTGGGAATGAACAGGTGATTTATCATTGTAATGAGATGGCACAGGTACATGATGTTGATCTGATGTTGAATGTGGCGATTTCTGTCTCTTGGAGTTCATTTCATCTTGTTGCATGATCTGTTTGACATCACTTTTACTCTCAGCTGCTTTGTTTGGCTGTACGGCATTTGGACCAAATATGTATTCTGGTCTTAACATTGAAACCTTTCCTGAAGATCTAGCCACTGCCTCAGATTTTTCGTGACTTTTAGATGAAGAATGTCTTTCTGGGGATGGACTTCTCCATGAAGATTTCAACCTAGGGGATTTTGACCTGTGTGATTTGGACCTTGGAGACTTTGACCTTGGTGATTTGGACCTAGGGGATTTGGACCTGTGTGATTTGGACCTTGGAGACTTTAACTGTGGTGATTTTGAACAAGACCTGGTCCTTGATATTGGCTTTGTCTCAATGATCAGTCGATTACTGGATGACTTACTAGAGGAATATTTCACAGTTCTGCTTTGAGAGACACTCTCACGTGATTTGTCACTTGTTTTTGACTGTACACTTTTAACTTCCTGTTCAGTTTTACAATTCTCCTTCTCTCTGCTAGTTGTCCTAACAGATTTCTCTTTAGATTCAGGTTTGGTCACTTCTGTGGAATGAACACGAGTGTTTGTGTCTATTATTTTACTGCTGTCTTTTTTAGTCTGGACGGTGTCAGAGACCGGTTTCATGTCTATTTTCATGTCACACGCTACATCAGCATTCTTGCTGTTTTCTTTTGGAAGTGTCTTTGATGTGTCCTTCACGTTGCTGCCTGAGTTTGAACTACTGCTGCTGTCACTAGACGATGACACATTTTTACTCTCCTCATTATCGGAGGAAGTGGCACTGTCTGAAGATACATCTGACGCACATAGCTCATCATCTTTTTTCTCTTCCTCTTCATCAGAACTTTGATTTTCTTCATCCTCTTCTGAGTTGGATTCGTATCTTGAAAATTTGTCTACCACTGAAAAACAAAATCAAATATAATAACAATTCATGTACGTAAGAAAAGGACAAATTCATTTCTCGTGACACAAGAATATAACATTTCTGAGGCCATTTGTATAAACCATCTCAAAGTTCAGGAGAATGTATTGTCTATGGGAAATCTTAAGACTTGAAGAAATCTCAAGAGTTGAGATGTGTTATACAAGTGAAGTCAGGACATTTAAACACAGATTACTACCTTTATAATATCCCTCACAGTACTTTTTTAAGTAATGTTGGAAAATAAAAACATGAATCCTAAGAGTGCATATCCTCAATAATGTATACTAATCTCAGTAATTTTGCCTCTAGACTTGGTTTTTTTTCTTACTTCATTAACAAATTGTAACCCTGACTTTTCACTTAGACCATGGCGTAGGTTGTACCTTTCGTTTTGTTGAAATAAAATTTCAGGAAGGATGCATATTTTGTTTTGTTAGAGTACCAGTAGGTTCAATGTTTTATTATATTAGACATTGAGGTAACTTGTGTATTTTATTAAATGTAGGAACAAACTATACATTTTTTATTTGGTGTATGGTTAGGTTTTACCTTTTGTTTTATTAGAGGTTGGGTTAGGTTGTACCTTTTGTTTTATTCGAAGTTGGTTAGGTTTTACCTTTTGTTTTATTAGAGGTTGGGTTGTACCTTTTGTTTTATTATAGGTTGGGTTAGGTTGTACCTTTTGTTTTTATTAGAGGTTGGGTTAGGTTGTACCTTTTGTTTTATTTGAGGTATGGTTAGGTTGAACCTTTTGTTTTATTCGAGGTATGGTTAGGTTGTACCTTTCGTTTTATTAGAGGTTGGGTTGTACCTTTTGTTTTATTATAGGTTGGGTTAGGTTGTACCTTTTGTTTTTATTAGAGGTTGGGTTAGGTTGTTCCTTTTGTTTTATTAGAGGTTGGGTTGTACCTTTTTGTTTTATTAGAGGTTGGATTAGGTTGTACCTTTTGTTTTATTAGAGGTTGGGTTGTACCTTTTGTTTTATTTGGTGTATGGTTAGGTTTTACCTTTTGTTTTATTAGAGGTTGGGTTGTACCTTTTGTTTTATTAGAGGTTGGGTGGTATCTTTTTGTTTTATTAGAGGTTGGGTTGTACCTTTTCTTTTATTAGAGGTTGGGTTAGGTTGTACCTTTTGTATTATTTGAGGCTGGGTAAGGTTGTAGCGTTTGATTTATTAGAGGTTGGGGCAGGTTGTAGCGTTTGTTTTATTAGAGGGTGGGTCAGGTTGTAGCGTTTGATTTATTAGAGGTTGTGTCAGGTTGTAGCGTTTGCTTTATTAGAGGTTGGGTCAGGCTGTAGCGATTGATTTATTAGAGGTTGTGTCAGGTTGTAGCGTTTGCTTTATTAGAGGTTGGGTCAGGCTGTAGCGATTGATTTATTAGAGGTTGTGTCAGGTTGTAGCATTTGCTTTATTAGAGGTTGGGGCAGGTTGTAGCGTTTGATTTATTAGAGGTTGGATCAGGTTGTAGCGTTTGCTTTATTAGAGGTTGGGTCAGGTTGTAGCGTTTGAGTTATTAGAGGTTGGGTTAGGTTGTAGCGTTTGATTTATTAGAGGTTGGATCAGGTTGTAGCGTTTGCTTTATTAGAGGTTGGGTCAGGTTGTAGAGTTTGATTTATTAGAGGTTGGATCAGGTTGTAGCGTTTGCTTTATTAGAGGTTGGGTCAGGTTGTAGAGTTTGATTTATTAGAGGTTGGATCAGGTTGTAGCGTTTGCTTTATTAGAGGTTGGGTCAGGTTGTAGAGTTTGATTTATTAGAGGTTGGATCAGGTTGTAGCGTTTGCTTTATTAGAGGTTGGGTCAGGCTGTAGCGATTGATTTATTAGAGGTTGTGTCAGGTTGTAGCATTTGCTTTATTAGAGGTTGGGGCAGGTTGTAGCGTTTGTTTTATTAGAGGGTGGGTCAGGTTGTAGCGTTTGATTTATTAGAGGTTGGGTCAGGCTGTAGCGTTTGATTTATTAGAGGTTGTGTCAGGTTGTAGCATTTGCTTTATTAGAGGTTGGGTCATGTTGTAGCGTTTGATTTATTAGAGGTTGGGTTAGGTTGTAGCGTTTGATTTATAGGGGTTGGGTCAGGTGTAGCGTTTGATTTATTAGAGGTTGGGTCAGGTTGTGGCGTTTGATTTATTCGAGGTTGGGTTAGGTTGTACCTTTTGTTTTGTTCGAGGTTGGGTAAGGTTGTAGCGTTTGATTTATTAGAGGTTGGATCAGGTTGTAGCGTTTGCTTTATTAGAGGTTGGGTCAGGTTGTAGAGTTTGATTTATTAGAGGTTGGATCAGGTTGTAGCGTTTGATTTATTAGAGGTTGGGTCAGGTTGTAGCATTTGATTTATTAGAGGTTGGGTCTGGTTGTAGCATTTGCTTTATTAGAGGTTGGGTCAGGCTGTAGCGTTTGATTTATTAGAGGTTGTGTCAGGTTGTAGCATTTGCTTTATTAGAGGTTGGGTCAGGTTGTAGCGTTTGATTTATTAGAGGTTGGATCAGGTTGTAGCGTTTGATTTATTAGAGGTTTGGTCAGATTGTACCATTTGTTTTATTAGTGTTAGGGTTAGTTCATACCTTTTGTTTTATTAGAGGTTGGGGTAGGTTATACCTTTTGTTTTATTAGAAGTTGGGGTAGGTTGTACCTTTTGTTTTGTTAGAGGTTGGATTCGGTTGTGCCTTTTGTTTTATTAGAGGTTGGGTTGTACCTTTTGTTTTATTAGAGGTTGGGTTGTACCTTTTGTTTTATTAGAGGTTGGGTTGTACCTTTTTGTTTTATTAGAGGTTGGATTAGGTTGTACCTTTTGTTTTATTAGAGGTTGGGTTGTACCTTTTTGTTTTATTAGAGGTTGGGTTGTACCTTTTGTTTTATTAGTGGTTGGGTTAGGTTGTACCTTTTATTTTATTTGAGGTAAGGGTAGGTTGTATCTTTTGTTTTATCAGAGTTTAGGTTATACCTTTTGTTTTATTAGAGGTTTGGCTTGGTTGTACCTTTTGTTTTATTAGAGGTTAGGGTAGGTTGTACCTTTTGTTTTATCAGAGTTTAGGTTGTACCTTTTGTTTTTTTAGAGGTTGGGGTTGGTTATACCTTTTGTTTTATCTGAGTTTAGGTTGTACCTTTTGTTTTATTAGAGGTTGGGCTTGGTTGTACCTTTTGTTTTATTAGAGGTTGGGCTTGGTTGTACCTTTTGTTTTATTAGAGGTTCGGGTAGGTTGTACCTTTTGTTTTATCAGAGTTTAGGTTGTACCTTTTGTTTTTTTAGAGGTTAGGGTAGGTTATACCTTTTGTTTTATCAGAGTTTAGGTTATACCTTTTGTTTTATTAGAGGTTGGGTTGTACCTTCTGTTTTATTAGTGGTTGGGTTAGGTTGTACCTTTTATTTTATTTGAGGTAAGGGTAGGTTGTACCTTTTGTTTTATCAGAGTTTAGGTTGTACCTTTTGTTTTATTAGAGGTTAGGGTAGGTTGTACCTTTTGTTTTATCAGAGTTTAGGTTGTACCTTTTGTTTTTTTAGAGGTTAGGGTAGGTTATACCTTTTGTTTTATCAGAGTTTAGGTTATACCTTTTGTTTTATTAGAGGTTGGGGTAGGTTATACCTTTTGTTTTTTTTGAGGTTGGGGTAGGTTTTACCTTTTGTTTTATCAGAGTTTAGGTTATACCTTTTGTTTTTTTAGAGGTTAGGGTAGGTTATACCTTTTGTTTTATCAGAGTTTAGGTTATACCTTTTGTTTTATCAGAGTTTAGGTTATACCTTTTGTTTTATTAGAGTTTGGGGTAGGGGTACCACTCCTGTCAGACCCCACCCACTTGTCCTGTGGACGGAGGAGTTGGGTGGCTGCGTCTGACTTGCTGGGTTGCTCCTCTACCATTGGTATAGTGTGGATTTGCACCAGATTACTGCCCCTGTTGCTCCCTGTAGTGGGTCTCCTGTCATCTCGATGTCGTGAGGAATATGAATTATTGGAGTAATTTCTTCTGCTGTCGCTATGGTGATGGTTGTGATCATCATGGTGATGGCGATCATCCCGACGCTGGTAGGACGAATGCTTTCTGTCAGTGGCCTGTAAGGATCAAAAATAAATTACAACATAAGAGAAGGAAAAGATTGCATCATTGTCTGACTTATCTATTTTCTATGCAATACTATTAAAAGCTTCAAAATGTCCACATGTATTATACTTGGGTAACCCAACGACCTACACTATCATAGTCTTGTGCTACCACGTTTTCTAAAAGCATTTACAAGAGGTAAAAGTATGACAAAATTTATCAAAACAATAAGATTCATTGTTTAGATAATCATTATCTATGACAACTGTCCTTTCTGTCACTATATTGCTAGAAAATCAAAACAACTTTTGAAAGTCTCAAATTCAATATATTATTTTCATATAGTGATTGAATGAACCCTACTTATCCATGTTTAATTATGTTTTGTATTGTTCGAACAAAAAATCTTAATATCTATACTAAAAGCAACAGAATTATTGTCAGCTATCAGTCCTGAAATATCAGAATCGTGAACCTTATGCAGATTGATTGTTTTTCAAATTGACAGTACTTCATAATGGGCTAACATAACAGGTTGTAATATAATCATAATGTGTAACCATCAAAGCCAAGTTAGATACATGTATATATATTCCAAAAGTTAATGTTGATTCAGTTTCTTCTCTTGTTTACCTTCGCATGCCAGCACAACAACTTTAAACCCAAATTTGTATCTATGGCATCCTATCAGAAAGAGTGTTGAACACTGACATCACATCACAGAGAGACAACACATGTGTTATGTCAGGATACTACATGTATAAAAACTTTTCCCTACAGAATTCAACTACATAATCGCTCTTAGAACATCAATCTTTTGTTTATTACGTATACTTGATTGGTGTCTGACTTTTTACAAGTGCTGAAGTAAACAGGTTTGACCAGGTGGTTGGTCCAACTAATGAATAAAGGTATTCTGTACACTTGTAGTTACAGAGCATCCTAGCATGAAAACATACAACTGTGATTAATGTACGAGTCAAAACCCAAACCTACAGAATGTCATACACATCCATAGGAGTTTGTGTGTATATTGACAGGGCACTACCACATGTTATATAAAAAGATTAAACAGTTACAAAGCTAGGAGATCAATGTGTTCTAAACTAAAAAGCTAAAATGTTATGGTGGCATCACCATATTTTATCCCTGCTTGATTTACGTTTTGCAATGACTTATGAAGGGCTGAATTTTCTTTACTTCTGGGATCAAGAGATGAATTCTACCTTTAAAATTACCATGCATTATTAGTTTTAAATTTTTAAGGACCTGGAATGGTCTCCATTCACTGATATTACATTCATATGTTACATTCAAAAGACTCAAACATTTTACACTAACAGATGATGTATGGTCACTTCTAGGTTTTTTGGAAAGTAGTGCTGCCTTTCTGAGAGCTAGTAACTCATCATCCTCGTCAGATTGTCCATCTTCATCCTGTGATGACCGAGTCCTATTCTGTAATCACAACAAGTCATCTTTAAAGCAGTTAAAGCTACATAATTATAACACACCTGTAATTAAAGTAGTATTCTTGTAGAATACAGTGCTTCATGCATTACACCTGTAAAGAGCTTACATATAATAATACAACATTCTCATCAATTGAGTGCTCTACATCATACAAATTTAAACAAAGCTTAATGTAATTGTTTTCCCTATAGAGTGAAGTGCCCTTTATACAAAATAGTTACACTCAGACTTATAACATGTAGTTAGTTTTCATATACTGGAGAATGAGTGATCCACACATGCATTATAGCATACAATATGCAATACCACCTGAAACTTATGAGCAGCATTCTCAAGCTCTAGTGCTACAAATTAAACAGTACACCTACAATTATCAGTGTTTTCACGACAGAGTTCAGTATTTCAGCTAGGATACATATGGGCATTGATTTTGTTTCCCACACACTACAACATGACCTTAGTGCCGGAGTATCTAATTAACAACAGTGGCCTCATATAACAGTGCCCTTCTCGAGTGCTATCCAATATACAATGTACATGGGAGTGATCAATACATCTATTTTACAGTTTATAACTACAGTATTTGCAGTACTTCACCTGTATTGTTCTATATAAATACATAACAATACACATTTCTGTTTTGTCAGATTTAATCATGGACAGTATATATGTACTGAGGTATTCATGTTCTCAATAACAAAATAAAATCCATTATAATTACCGTCTTCATAGATGCCAATACAGCATTCCTCAAGGCAACCAAGTCCTCCTGAAACAAAAATAAAATAAAATGAAATGAAATGTACTTTGTACATGTAAGTTATTAATACACTCTACGTCATATTGAAGATTATGTCAATGTAGGGTTGTGAGGGTGTGTGCATGGCAAAGAAGGATGTGTAGTCGTGTGTATGAATACTAATGATTTAGAGAGTGAAGTTTGGTTTTAAAGGTGTCAAAGGATTCTGGAGTTACCAGTTGGTCATGTCAGGAGGCAGTTAATTGCACTTTGGGATAGTTCTAGGAAAGAAAGAGAATTTACAATAGTCAGCTTTACAGTGAGGAATCTGATAGAAAAGATGATGAGAATGTCTGGATTGTCATAACTGTGGTGTCAAGGGGAGGTCTTTATTGATGGCAACTCTATTTTGTGATATTTTATACATCATAGTAAGACGGTCATAATTACATCTATCAGCGAGGCTGGGCCAGTTAAGATGCTGGATCATGTCAATAACGCTTGAGGTGTTCTGGTAGCGGTTAGTGACAATTAAACCTTGCACTGGCTGTACCACAAATGAAGCCTATAGTTTTATTTGCTTTGTAATGTTGTTAATGTGGAAATCACATTTCAGATCTTGTAAGTTGTTGGAATGTGACACCTAAGTATTTTGCTTTGTCAGTGTGTGCTAGGCAGTGACCATGTTGGAGGAAATTGTGTTTAATGGGTTTTTTTATTTTTGGTGATCGAGCGAACACTACATATCTGGGGATGCAATCCCATTTTCCACCATTTTTCTCAATCTGCCAGTTTGTTAAGGACGTTTTGTTGGGAAATAGATGTTACACTGGAGGAGACAGGTGTATACACAATAGTGTCGTCGGCAAACAGTCTAACTTAGGATGCGAGATCGAGGGGCATGTCATTGATATAGTATCAAAACAAACTTAGTCCAAGGACAGACCCCTGAATCAACTGGCACGTAGGTAGATTGTTCGTCGTCGAATATAACTTATTGTGGACATTTCCCCTGATGCTGTAGTGATGGAGTTTATGAAGCAACAAGTTGAGATTGACTTTGTCAAAAGCCTTAAGAAATCGAGAATGAGAACATCAATTTGTTTGTGAATTTCCAAGCTGGTGTCGAAACAAGATGTTATTGTTATCAGCATGTGTCATGATGGAACTGACAAGTTGACAACTATGTGTTCAAGTCATTAACTGCAGACACATGTCAAAGAAATAGGCCTATAGTTTTCAGGATTATATTTTGTTGCTTTTTTTAAATATAGGGGAAACACAAGCAGTTTTCCAATCATTGGGCACAGTACCAGGTTCGATAGAATGATTGAAAAGTAAGCTCAAAATTGGTGATACTTCAAGAGCCATTTCCTTCAGAAATTTTGGTTTGATATTGTCTGGGCCTGCTACTTTTGTTGGGTTAAGATTTTTCAGTAGTTTTGTGACCCCTTCATTTGTTATATGTATGTTGGTCAGGATAGTGTGATTGTGGTTTGTTATGTTATATTTTTGTTTAAAATCTGCAGAAGTTATTGAGTTGGGTTTTGTGAAAACTGACTGGAGTTGTTCATTTAAAATCTCTGCTTTTGAATGAGAGTCCACAAGTCCACAAGCATGAATTAGTGCATATCAACTTTATATCACTGTTTTTGTCAAAAGCACACGAGGATAATAGCAGATGATTACAAATCAATGTTTGATCATATATAATACCTCAATATATAATACCAAATGAACGCATTGTGTGCACATTCCCTACTGTCAGTCTCCAATTTCACATGTCACTGCAGGAAATCACAGATCATAAAAGAGCTTGTCAGGCTGTCACCTTGGGTAATTAAGCGTATAGCACCGATATGGTCTTCGACATACCATACAATATCTTCCAAGTTTTGTTTGACAGACTGATAAGATAAATAATATTTTTATCTATTCAAAATGGCCCTCATATATGTGGCTTAATATTTAGAGTGATTACTGATCATCCTTTGCTGAAATTTTAAAGTTGACATTGCAATGTTTGATTATCTTTTTTTAGAAACACGTGATGACAACTGCTGACAACTGCTGTATATACATGCCAGAACCATATGTTACTGTGTATCATTGTTGTCTTTTTATTTTTCACCACAGCTGTCGACACCAGCTTGGGCTCTCACACAAGGCATGGAAATCACAGAACAGGAACAAATACAAACACATCAGTAAGATAAACTCGTAATATGCCAGATCGTTTGAAATACTAAACAGCATCACCGGACATAACTGCGTAAAGAGAAAGTCAACAAAACCAGCAACGTGTTTTCTGTGATAACCCGATATATCGCGGATGTTTACGCATTGAACTCCACTGTGCCATAGTTTGAAAACTACTTCATGCATTCAATTTTATAAATAGCAAATTCAAGCTAACCTATGACAAATATGTACAACACTAGATAATGCAAAACTCAGGCATTCTTCCTGATATTTCAGAGTAACTTTACCTCATCTTCCGACGCCATCTTGAATGTGCTACACTTCCTGTACGTAATGAATACACGTGGTTTGATTTTTCGGTTGCCTAAAGTGTTAGTCGCAATCTTGCGATCTGGCCGTGCCCGGATCGTCAAGGGACCATGACAAGTTGTTTTTTAATTAAACATATCTATACCGTTTACTAGATCGACGACGAATCGCATTGATCAAAGTATTAGAAAAAAAGTTAAGACATTTTTTTTCAGTATCGGTTTAAACCTGCCAAACTATATACTGATGTCTTATATTTAAATGCTTTATATGCCCGTTTTAAGTTGCCCTTTTTAGATATGTTTAGATATGTTTAAATGTGATTGCATGAAGCATGATGTTCATCTGTGATTAAAGTATGAAGCTAGCTGCTGCTCCTGCCTTTGTGCTATATTATGTTAGCTTGTGTACTGCAGTATGCTTTAAATGTATCTTTAAATTTTAAGTTTTCAATTTGTTTATGATATATTATCAGCCTGTGATATGCTCTAAATTTATCTGTGATTATGTTGAATCACGGACTTAGATATCTAATCTAATTCCGTGGTTGAATATATGACCTTTCATAAGAATAATAAGAATATAACAAATCCTGAGTTACTGGGGTGCAGGTCGAGCATACCATGCTGGTAGGGGGCTCCCTAACCCTTGGAGCTGACCATGTACCACTGTACTATCTTTTCTCAAGTTCTTCTTTTTATATCTTTCCTTCATCTCATAATATAAGCAAATGTGATCAAATAATAAATGAATTTCAAAATGTGATAATTGTAACATGCTACTTTTACCGCATTAAATATTATTATTATTATTATTCAAAATTAAATATGTTTTATTGGATGCTTACTCTCTATTTGTATCTTTTACAGCATGAACATATCTTGTTTAATTAATAAAACATTGTTTTATGTATGTTTTATTTGTTATGTCGATTGTAAAAGCTCACTAAACGAGCTTGTGTTTATCTTTGTAATCATATCGACGTTAAATAAAATGTACTTGACTTGACTTGTCTGTGGAAAAGTAGCACTGATCATAACTGGTCAGAGACGTATATATATGTAATATATACGTCTCTGAGATGAGTAGCGTTAGGCTTCGAACAAAAAAACTGATGTGCAATAATAAGGGTCATGCACATCTTTTCAATGGGAATCTCGCCAATCTTAAAACATTAATGCTAGGACGAACAAAGATATTTCGATAACAGTGCCATGGCTAATAATATTTAAATAGATATTACCACAATAAACACTTCGCATTAAAGCCCTTTTGGTCACTGTGGAGTATAACATATAGATAGATATAGATACACCGAAAACATGATGTAAATTTTTATCCAAATTAGATGTCAAAATTAAAGTCATAAAATTCTTTTCGAACAAAAAAGTAAATCATTATACAATGTAGGTCCTAATAGGAAAATGACGTAACGTGAAAGACTAACGGCACGTCTCTGCACGTGTTTCCTCAAATGTGATGCTATATTGTAACAAGGAAAGAAATAAAGTTGAAACTATACACATTCTGTTCTTTGGTCTTTACATTGAATACATGTAGTATTTAAGCATGCCTAGATATCTTTGCGTGTATTAGTTTGATAAGTTATACAAAATGTAAGTAAATTAAGTAGAACCGCGATTGGGTATAGCCTCATATATTAATAGTTTCTCCGTCACTGACGATACGTCATTGACTCCGCAATACGGCCGTATTTGACTCTGGGTACTATGTAAGACCCATCTTAAATAAGATTCATCAGTTTGGAAATGTGTAATATAAAAGTGTTACTTTCTTCACAAACAACGTACGTATTAAACGTGTCGTAGCGTTTCAAGACCGACTGGTCCCTTTGTATTGTCAAGCTATGACTGATCGCCTATCGATAGGAAGCGTATACACACTGCATCAGATAGGTACAGGTAGGATGTAGATCTAGCCCCCTCCCCTGTTACGTCAATATCGGGCCCTACATATTACTCAGTCGGTGTCCCCCTCGTCTCTGTTCATGTTTTGAGTTTATCGTAATTTTGATTGTTCTTTGATTTGTCTTGTGTTTGTGTGTGGTTACCATTTACCTATCTTGGCAATGTCCCAATCGGCGATGTGATTTTTGGGTATTAGCGTGATCTGTTAATGCCGATTTATTGTACTTGGTGGCGGATGTTTTGCGTGTGGATCTGGTAATGTGATGTTGCTTATTTACTCTACGTCCTGTTAATGTTCCCTCAGACGTGGACCTTTCCTCCCAGTTTCTACTACTTAACTGGACTCAAGGATATAATGCACACCGTCTTCGAAATAGTATAACTTGATAACAGCGATGTCTGGTGAAGTTGCGCGTCCGGTGGAGTCATCGATTCAGTGTCAGCTTAGACAGGATTTGCGCGTGAAATTTATGAAAAGTAAACATTTCGACTTACTTGGTGGGTTTTTTATTGTTCCACCACGGGATATTCAATGGCATGTCTAAAAATACAACACTTTCCTTTTTTTCTTTTCTCAATTATGCGCAAGTCCGCCAGACATAAACTGCGACGTATCCACGAGGTAAGTTTCATTTGCGTCGTTTTGTTGTTATTCGCCATTACAACATTATTTAATTATTTCCTTGACAATTTGAAAGATATTTCCTCAATTGTCCAAACTATAAAGGTTTTTTAATCGATACGTCTTAAACGAACGCATACGTGTGGTTGAAACTCCACTTAATTCAGCTACTATTACTCCATTGTTTCTCACGGATTCTACATTGCAAGACGTCGTTTCTCGAAGACCTGTATACTGCAGTTACCGATATTAACATATTCTGACCCTCCCCATCGGGAACGATCTCTTAATACTACTTTCTGGCGAAGAAGATATTTCCTATCCAGACAACTTTAAACAATGTTCAGTTCTTCGGTGATGGGGCTGGGGGATAAGAGTACAAAATATTAATTTGAAAAATTGCGATATGATAGCCTCGTTATTTTTTTAGATATGACATTTTCCGAGGCTGCTATGATGCTCTCCGTGTAACTTGTTTCACTTTAGGTTCCGATCACAGGGACCTGATAATTTGTTACAGCTATATTTTGACCTAAACTAAGGTGTTCAGAGTACTTTTACATGTTTGAGGGGTTTAGATCGACTTTCGGTAAAAATGACAATCCCCAATGCAATCGCAACTTCTCGGCCAATTCCGGCTAGGCGCGGCTAGCCGGAATTGGACGAGAAGTTTAGATTGCCCCCAATGATCATATATTTTTTACCGAAGTCGACCTAAACCCCTAAAACATGTAAAATTACTCTGAACATCTTAGTTTAGGTCCAAATACAGGTGTAACAAATTATCAGGTCCCTGTGGTTCAGATCACATGAAGATCTCGCTGGCTTCCCTGGCACTTTTTGCATGATTGTAGCATTCTTCAATAGCGCTGTCCCAATACATCGGAAAACCGGCAATACACCAGCATGCCGTACCGTATCGCAATGCAAGAGATACAATTTTGGGCCTGTATCCCTTGGATTTTATGTAGGATGGGTGGTCAATAAATATACATGATTTATTTAATTATTAATATCTAAAACATAAACAGAAAATGATTAAAGCAAAGTTGAAAATGTTCATTTCACAAGCTAAATTGTAGTTATCTCCCCTGCACTGGATTGTTATGACAGAATATATGTAATGTTTGTAAATAAGTTTGGAAAGGACTTAAATAGGCCTAGCCTGATGTCCAATCCAATTGACATATATAAAGTCAATAAAATCTGATGAAATGAAAAGAGATAACATTTCGAACACGGGTATACCAATATTACAAACATGTTAGTAGTAGTGGTAAATATGTCTGTTGTGAAATAATTGACCCATTGTTGCTTCCACCAGTGGTAATTACCGTAGAGCGGCGGACTGTGAAGCTTGGTTAATAGGTAGGAGGGGAAATAACTCCTGTTTCCATACCGTAAAATTCAGAATTTATGTCACTCTATTTACAGTCTAGAAGGAAACAACATAAAACTTTCTTATTTTAAATGGCAGTTGGGAATAAAGAAACAACATTAAGTCAAAATATAACAATAACAAGGTTATGCTATTTCATTTTTATTGTTATTCTTGTAAAAGAAATAACAATTGTCTTTTAGAACAGTATTTTTCAAATCTGTTCTATCATGGTCAAATGCATTCATATACAAATGTACTGGTATAGAAATTAATTTTAAAGACAAATGAATTACATGAAAATCAGTTACATAGCATTATTTTTATGTATCTAAAAACAGTTAAAACTATATTCATTTACATAAATGTACATTGAAAAGCAAATGTTTCATTATTTCATTGACAGCTAATTTCTAGAAATGCTACCTTTGTGTGAAAGGCAACAGTAATGCCATACATGACATGCAGAATTGACATCACTTGCTCAATGTAGAATTGGAAAGGTCACTATCATGTTTATTCACAATAATACCTAGATACTAAATACACATTCCCCTCTCCCACTCAGCACTTTTTCAATTATTTCTATTACTAAACTTGCTGTATTGCTGTTTTTCAACAGGAAAAGGAGAGAAAATTGTCCTTGCCCCCTGTGTGTATACTGAAAATGTACAGCAAGTATGCAGAAATCACATTAAAACTATCTAGATATATTAACAAAACCTTTGCTTGTCTCTTACTATTTGATGAATTAGTTTCATGCAAAATAAAATGCTTTTTCATATAAAAATAATTAATTTTACCCAACAACTGGCTATAAGTAGAAAACTCATGTCTGTAGTCTCTCGTTTACACAGCAACAGTTTTTTCACTTTGCTATTCAAATCGGAGTTTAATCAAGATTAAGTCTCCTTTGTTTGTAAGTCAGGCAACTATTCACTTCTAGCCACAATAAGTTATCTGTGTAAATGGGACACATTGTATAATCAGTGACTTGAAAGATATCTTCACACATGGTCAAGATCCTGTCTAGCTGTTCATTCAGGCAAACCACACCTCATCCAGGCTAGGAGAATCTAGGACTGTCCTGTCGATCAGAAGGTGTAAACAGGTTACTGTGTACCATCTATAGGGTCTTTTTGCTGACAGAGTTCTTAAATTCATAAGTCTAACTTCATGCAGATTAAACCCTATGGTCTTGTGCCTTTCAGAGTTCTGTAATACTCATGACCATCTGGGCTTCCACCAATAGTTTTAAAACCACTGTCACTGGTCTTGTTTCCTCCATGTGTAATATAAAAGTCTAATGTCAATGCTGTGTCATTGGGCATTTATACTGAGAAAAGCAAGGTGACCTTTTGGACATTTGTTAGCATAATGGCCTTTTTCTCCACACTGAAACAACAAAAATACAGGACAAAATTACACATTATTTTTTCTCAAAAAAGTCCAAAGCAAAAATTAAAAACAAAAATTATAATCATGTAATCTTGGATTATTCTAAGATTTATATACATAATGAATTAATTTACAAACATTTCAATATTATGATAATATTCGGTCCATCAGCTCATATTAAAACCTTGGAATAATCTGGCTTTATTTCAAAACTGCATAGAGAAATGGATTTGAAATATCTGTCAATCTTACATTGGTAGATTTTAAGTTAACCTTACAATAACACAACACCAGAAGTTATTCCTCTTACCTTACTTAGGGAACCAGAGTAGTGTCAACACCAACTTTGTTATTAAATTAGATAAAGAACTCTGTCAAATATTTTTACAATTTTATAATCTTTCTCATTTTGGTTCCTTTAAACATAAGAGGCAAATTACTCACCTGTCAGACCCATTTTGAAGATATTATGAAAGCTATTATAATGCCTATTTCATCTTTTCATTAATTTCATTAATGTAAAATTGGAGAAAAGCTTTGTATACAAAACATAAAACTTACTTTGAAACAAGTGACTTGATCAAGGGGTCGTCTGGGGTCACCGCCTTCCCCTCGCTCTGTGTGACCATGGGAATCTGATTGCTGTGTCTGTACATTGATGGGTCTGCCGATCGGGGATGAGTGAAGCATAGATGGCTGTGGAACAAATCGATACAAATGTTTAGCGTGAAACAACATTATTCATAAAAGCACAACCAAACACAAGACATGGATTTCACGTTGGCACTTGATTTAAAGTAATTTTTCATTTAGAAGACTCAACATGCTGTTGTTACAAAATAAGGAAAATATGAAAAAACAGGATTTTTTCTTTCAATCAAACCTCTAACGATCTGTCAATGAAAACATCATCATGTACGGAACATCAAGCGATGTCAAATGACTTGTCAATGCAAAACTACAGGTCAGTAAATAGGAAACGACAAACTAGTAGACCTTGTATTTAATATGGAAAACTATCTACAGATTAGCCTAACTCAGCCAAGGAAACAAGAATTCCACTGAGGTAGATGTCACTGGACTCCTCTAATGGCCATGTTGATTTTAAGATATGGGTCAAAATCAAACTTCAGGAGGTAACTACAAATAACCAACAGGTAACTGGTAGGACACTGGGCTTGTGACCGAAAGGTTTCAATTCACGTCACGACACTGTGTTGTATCTTTGAACAAGATACTTTACACTGCTTGTTCCTGTCTACTCAGCTGTAAATGAGTACGTGGTTGGGCAGGGCAAGAATTGTAGAATGCTAGCTGTGAGAGCTAAAATGGCAGCACCGGCTGTAAGCTCCCCAGGGAGTTGAGAAAGATCTTGGCTGGTTGCAAAGGCCCTATATAACCAGGGAACCTCTTTGAGACGGCCTACGAACTAGGTTGTGATAAAGCGGAATATAAGAACCTTGAATTATTATTTAATATNTCTTTGAGACGGCCTACAAACTAGGTTGTGATAAAGCGGAATATAAGAACCTTGAATTATTATTTAATATATTTATTATATGTATAAAGTTTTACAAAAAGCAATGCAGTCTTTTAAAAGCTATTGCAAGGATGATACATGTGACACAAATGGGATGATCCCTATGATACCTTTGTTGTGCAGGTGACACAAATGGGATGATCCCTATGATACCTTTGTTGCGCAGGTGACACAACAACAAAATATGACTCCAGTGGAATGATCCCTAATGTCACCATTGTTTTACAGGTAACACAACAAAAATATAGTTGGACTTTTCAATGGAAAACTGTACAGTTTAGCATGGCTTGTAAATTTGAGTGTTGCTCACCTTTCCATCGCCACTCTTGCCTTTGGGACAGCTGATGGCCTTGTGGCCAGTCTCACCACACATGTGACATACAATGGTGGCCTTTTTGGCTTGTGTTGTTGGATCATATGTAGGCAGGTCGAAGTTTGGACTAGAATGAAATGTATTTTACAGATTTTAAACAGAATTATAGAGTTTTCCATTTGTTAAAGGAAAATTAAAGGCATACCAGGAATATTTTTTCTATACATTTCAGTGTATAGTTAAACACAGGAAAGAGAAAAAAAATACGGGTTTTTTTTTCGTTTGTTTTAAAATATGCAAAATAAATGAAAATCACATTTTCTTTACCTGTGAAAATACTTACTGCATAAATTTACACTTTGGTCCATCTAAACAGAAGCCTTGTAGGTAACACTGACACAATACTCGGCGGACATGTCTGTTTTTGCACTTTGGACCTGTAGAATATCAATAGCTCAAATTAATTAAGCTTCATAACAAAAATGGTACATATTGTAAGGGAAAAATCAATCACTTAACAATTGACTAATGTTTAAATATCAATTGTTTCATGTAGTGCCAAACAATATGTTTGTTACATGTATATAAGTTTCATGAATACCTTAACACTATTTTATAATGTTTAAATAGCGTTGGTTTCATGTTGTGCCAAACAATGTTTGTTACATGTATATAAGTTTCATGAATACCTTAACACTATTTTATAATGTTTAAATATCGTTGGTTTCATGTAGTGCCAAACAATATGATTGTTACATGTATATAAGTTTCATGAATACCTTAACACTATTTTATNCTGCGAAAGTGTGGAGCCACCTTAATGCATTCTCATCGTATTATTATTATTGTTATAGAGTCATAACATCCATAAGCTTTCAACAGGTCATTTACCACTTATCTGGACNCTATTTTATAACTTATCGGTTTCCTTCCTATAGTGAACAATACAGATGGTATACTATGGACACTAAAACACTTAAGTACACCACCTGGTTAAGCTTAAATACTGAGTCTGACTGGACTATTTATACATAAGTACACCATGAACTGATAGTCTGTTTCTTTCTATAGTACACTATCCAATTTTTGGTCCTTAACAGTTATCATCTTTAATCACAATTATCACACGCTGAACCCTATATACAAACAACAAAATACAGTAAGGTTTTTTCAGGTCTTTTTCATATGTAGTTAATAAGCAATTTTATAATTACCTGATGTAAAAAAACTATTACATTATGTACCTGTATATCCTTCAGTTAAAGACACAATAGTGAGTCACACTGGGTGTTATATGGAGCCCTCACCCGTGACTTAGGCACTATTCCATACCTAACAACACAATGAATACCTTAACAACACCATTCTGCCTTAAATAGCAGGAACTGATAAAAGTTAAACAGATTCCAGACTCACCATGTCTACAGAATCCACGATCATACCATGGACAATCTTTGATTTTAGCTGAGGGATCTATATGTAGAAACGGGCATTCCTTGTTATTGCATTCACCTGCAATGGAAAAGAAATACACCAATCTTACAGTGGATGATCTTTAAATAAGATGACCTAAAATTACAGGAACACTGCAACAAAGTCTATACAACAAAATATTGATTATGTACAGTTGTAGCAGTGACTCCCATGACAGGTAAAATTTTCAGCTGCACAAATACAATCTATGTTTTATTTTTTTCTATCAGCTCAAATTTACACTTTTACATTCCTTTAAACCTTGACATTGTTTTAAAGTTTTTCCTTATATTCACTCTCTAAAGTCATTGAGTAGGTTGGCATCTTCATATCATCTTTTCTTATTTTTCACCTCTTGTTATATCTCCTTACAGCAACAGTTTACTCTCTTTATCAATGTTTACCAGTGTCTAAATTTATACTGATTAGTCCACCAATCTTGTGTATTTCCAGCATTTCATTTGTAACTAAAAAGGCTCCCATATATAATACACCCTAACTTAAAATTGTCTGAACATGTTTCTTATACATTTAACCACAAACTTTGAGATGCACTTACCAAATATAAACAAACACTTACCAAATTTGGAGAAAAAGTAGCATTCAGGCATTTTTGATAAATCATATTCGTGCAGAAACTCGCAGTCATCTCCCTTCTTGCAGAGTCCTCTGAGCCAATGTTTACACACCACAGTTCTGTCACCTTTGATGTGCCGGTATGGACATGCTGTGCCCTTGCTGCAGATGTTGCTCAGGTAAAATGTACAAATGGCTGAACCAGACTCTGATGAGATAGAAGTATAACATTACCTTCATGTACAAGTATAAATGTATGCTCTTTACAAAACATTGTTAAAAGTATAGCTTGATGTTAACAGTATAAACTGACATGTTAAATGTTTGGAAACTAAGTGGACGACACCTTTGACTACTTCGTTGAGAACTGATGCTTTGGATGGTTATCACTATGGTGCAGTCATTTGGTTTTCTTCATAAGTGTTATAATGCCAGGAACCATATGTTTAAATTTGCACTACAATGCATGAAATATAGAATAAATATGGACAAATAGTGAATTCTTTGACATTGTGCTATTTTTTGAAGAAAAAAAGTGCTAAGTTATCATTATATTCATTTTTCTCCAACATGTTCTTCATTTCTATAACAATGGTTTGGACTAATGTAATCTAAAAAGATGTGAATAAAATAATCCTGACCAATAAAGATAGGTTTTGTTTCCAAGTTTTTTGCAAGACAGAAAAAGTGTTGTTTCCTTCTTTATATGCACCCCACTATATATTCTTCTGCTTTACAATTACTTAACCGAACATAAACGATTACGATAAAAATAAAATTTAAGTTATGCTTCGTGAAATGTTTCAAGAGTCATTGTTGTTTCTTTTTGATCGACCGGTCGGTAAACAACTACTGCGTTACATGATACGTACTATCCATCCCAGGGAACGGCAGAGGCTGTGACCCAAGTTGCTGTTCCAAAGCCATTTCAATGTCAAACCTCATGTGAGTAACTGAAGCTACAATTTCCTGCATCTTGATATATATTTTGATTTATAAACAGTTTCTCCTTTTCTCGTGGATTCCTTGAGCGCCTTACTGATATTGACTGCAATATAAATCTGGGTTAATAACACGCTCAATAGTAATCCTAATGCACGACAAAGATATATCTAGAATGCTAGAGCCTGTATTCATGAGACCGTTTTCATGCTCAAACATGATTTCCGTGCTCAAGCTGATTTTTTGGGTAATTTTATCACTGGCACAAGAAACTGGCTTGAGCACAGAATTTGAGTTTGAGCATGAGATCGGTTTCATGAATACTGGAGAGACAGAAAGCTATTCATAAGGTCGATTTGATTCAAATTACTGTCAAAATGTAATAGAATGGTTTAAATTAAACCAGGTGAAAGCAAACCCTGATACATTCCAGGCCATTTGTGTAGGGGAAACGTTCGGTAGATGCTAGATATTGTTCCTGACATGCAGTGTTGTCAAACTTTTAGGTGACAACTTGACTTTGATTCATTTTTAAACTTTGAAGCTCTTGTAGGAAAGCCTCAAGGCAATTCTAAAGCGAACTGGGAGTTTTTTAACCAAACAAGTTAGACTTGTAATTTATAATTCTTTAATTGTTTCAAATTTTAACTACTGTCCTTTAGTCTGACACACTTGTTCCTTGAAGAGTGTCAGCAAGTCAGAAAAGATACGACAAAGAGCTTTAAGGTTTATGCATAATGATCACAACTCATCCTCCAGACACTTACAGTATTACAAACAGCGACAGGCTTCGTGTAAGGCGTCTGAAGGAAATGGGTTGTGAGGTTTTTAAAATCATAAACAAAATTTCTCCTGAATATATTCACAATTTGTAAATATTAGATGTCTAATTATGACATCAGGAAAGAAAATACTACAGAGGTGCCCAGGGTCAACAATGTGAAGTATGGACGTAAATCGTTTGCTCTTGAGGCCGCCCGGGTATGGAACAGTCTCCCAAATGACTTCCGAAAAGTTGAAAACTTCAAAGAATTCAGGAGGCTGGCTCATTCCTGGGATGGCCCCATCTGCCTTTGCAATATCTGCAAAGAGTGATACTTCATACTGTGCCTTGGTTACCTCTGCCACCTGGCATTTTGGATTGTGTGATACTTTTATTGTCTTATTTCATTTCTTATATGTTTTAATTCTATTCTATATTTTTGCAGCATCTTATTTGTTTTTTAATTCCATTTATTCTAAAATGTTTTTGTTTACAAAACTTTATTAATTTTGTTCATTGATTTCGGTATCATTTTTGAATTCACACTATAATAGTGTATATTCTGTCAATTTTTATTCTTTGCTATATTAGCATTGTATGTATATTCCACTTCATAGTGTTTTAATCCTAAGTCCTAAGTAATTCTTGTTTGATATACAAGTATTCATTCTTAACTATGTCTTTTATCTACTTATTCTGAATACTATACTTATCTGTGATCACATTTAATGCTTTTCATATATTAACACTATTTTTATATATTTTTGTTTCAAAAGGGTCATATTCCGGGGGCGTTTGTAGGTAGGGGACTCCAAATCACCTATTAGAAACCTGGGATATGGATACTTTCTTTTTCTGTGATAATTATTACTGCTTTTTATTAATATGTGATTATCTCCCTTTACTTGTAATATAATATGTTATTGTTATTTTACAAATGTTTGTCACAATAATAGCTCTCAAGAGCTAATGTTCCTTGTTAACCTGTATGCGACGTTAAATAAAGATTCTTGTATCTTGTATCTTGTATCTTATATTCCGTAAACGTTTCCAATGTGTTTTTACCGAACATTTTGACGAGCATGCCCGATTGGTAGAGGGGCGGACAGGGAAGATGGGAACTCTGATTCGATCCCCGATGGAAGCACACTGCTCTCGATTTAAAAAGTTGTCACATTTACTGAAGTTGTTGAATCAGATTCATTATTACAGCGACTTTTTATGTATATATTTCTAAAGATTCATCTCTTTTTGGAACAAGTTTGGCAAACTTTAAAGTATTTTATCTTGACTCTCTCATGCAGTGTGTAACATTTAGAAGATGAGAAATCAAAAATGAAACGTCAACATCAGGGGCGTATTCGTTTTAAAGTATTTATTATTTTAAAGTTTGTCTGTTTTAAAATGTAAAATTTCAGGTAAAAATACTGACGGACCTGAAAAGTCAAGGCTCGCCTAAAAGCAGTATCAGATTAATAGGTCTGACCTTATTTCATAAACGATCAACTCTGGTCCAACCGGTTCAACCGTCTGGATCGCGTTAAACGAAAGCGGTCCAAGATATATCCAAACCATGTAGTATATTTATTATTATGAGAAAGTTGTCAATGCTACCAATAGAGCACATGTGCACAATAAAAAATGTTGATGTCATTTCAATACTTGATAAAACTCCTACTGAACATTATAATTAACATAAAAGTTTCGTAAAATAGTTCTTGGAACTGGAAAATAGGCTGTCAGCATGAAGGACAGAATTAGGACAATATCCAATGGATTGCTATAACAATGCACAAGGTTTTTGCTATTTATGTAATTTACAAAATGATACAAATAATCTTGTAAAGCAAGCCTTTCAAGTAAACAAACACGGTTTACATACATTGATCAAATTAAAAATATCAATGATATATCATTCAATTATAGGCATGACTTGTTATGCTAAAAATAAGTCAGAAGGAAAGGTTTGATAAAATCTTTAATCCATAAGAAAATTTGAAACAGAAATTTTGCTCAAAGGCATTTAATTTATTAACAAAATTGAGAATAAGTAACCATATTATTAAGATTGAAACAGGCAGAGCTGAAAAAACCTTGGTCACTAAGTTCATTTTTTGTAAGAACTGTAACACACTAGAAGACGAGGTTCATTTTTTTTCCATTGTACGAACAACTTTGACATTAGGAAATTATTTTCCGAAAGACATAAACATCATTAAATGACATACAAATCTTACAGAGGATACTAGCATCGAATGAAACAAAACTTTTGCGCGATTTAGGTATCTTCATCAAAATAATCTTCAGTGTGATGAAGTAGTTCAATTATTTGGTAGACGTAGAAAATATCTTTTTAACTGAGGAAGGAGTCCTTGTAAAGTGCTTAGTTAAATTTTATAGTTCTGATACGTTTGTTAATGTTGTGTTAATTTGCTGTTTGATCATTGATAATGTTACTCTCTTTGGATGCAAATCCATGAAAGCTGATTGAATTGTAATGAATTCTCATGAGCCTGGGGTCAATGCTACACAGCAATTAAATATCATAATTCGAAATTGTATCACTCGGATTCTCATGATCTAATTAATCTGAAAGGACATGGAAACCACATTTTCTTCAAGTCACATTAAGACATAATACATACATATTTCCCGTTATAATATAGGAATCCATCAGTTGTCGCTATTAGTTTGAGGTTAAATGTTAAAATGAAGGCCTATTAGACTATTGTATTGTGTATTAGCTTTAAGCATTGCGGCGCATACAGGCGTACCCAAAAAGGACATATTTTAAATAAGGTAACTAACCATTTCGGTAACTTGACCATATTGTAAGGCTTTCATACAAATGGACAACATATACTTGACTCGTGCTTATATATAAAACAGTCAGTTACTCACTTGAACTAAGGAGTGTGGGTCTGGGTTCTGTGTAAGTTTATATATTGTTCACTATTGCAGTTTCTTTGTATATTTGTTGTTTTTGTTATTTGCCTTCAAGTTACTCTTTAACTATAAATGAGCAATACAATTATTGAAATTGAAATTGTGATGATATAGTAAAACACATTATAAAATTCAAACTTCAAATTCAAAATTTTATTTGCACATTTGTAACTACAAAGTAGTTTGAAAATAGAAAAACACAGTGAAATACATACATAGACATGTACATGTAGAAAAGTCGCAAAGTGATTGCTTATATTTTTAATATACATTAACATGAACAAAATTAACATAGCTTCAAATAGAAAATTTTATTTAAACATTTTTAGCTGCAAAGTCCATACCTTATACTGTCTACTGTCAGCAAGCCCGCTCTCCTCAGTTCTAGAGACTGTTTAATAAATAAGCAAGAGTCCAGTATAAATTGGGATTTGTTTGTAGATAATATTAAGGTCAAATAATTGGTATCTAAGGTAACATTATTGTGATTAGGAATGCATTTTTGGAAATATTCTTTTCTGGCAGATTCATTTAGGGAACAGTGAAAAAGAAAAAAGAAGTGTACTTCATTTTCTAACACACCACATTTTTTACAGAGTCTCTGGTCTCTTGGTATACTTTTTACAATGACAATGACAAGTTTTTATTCTCCCAAACTGGTTACAGTGTAGAGAGTTATATACATATATACAGTTTACATATAAATCATGGTGTTAATGGCCAGTGTTAATTCGCTCAATTCTGTGCTTAAGGAATTTTATAAGTGAAATTAGTTCTTCATTATTGACATAATTAAATAATGTATTAAACTTTAAAGTACTAGGACTTTCAAAATAGTGTCGCGACATGAATTTTCTTCTGTTTTGCAGGATCTGGTGGTCATTACAATTAAATAAATAATGATATTCGTCTCCAATTTCATTTAGTTCACAAAAAAATACATTTCCCTTCTTCTCTTGTTAATCCATCTACCACATTCAATAGGAAATTTTACATTACAAATTCTAAATTTACAATAAACATTTGCTAGTCTTGGAGGGAGATCTAGCAGGTATTTTTCTAATACTAAGTCATTTTTAAAAATTCTGTAATTGGTCCCTTTAGGAGAATTGAAAACATCGCTTCTCCATTTATTAATGAATTTATCTTTTAGTGTATGGAAAACTGTATTTTTCAGCCATTGGGTACTTTGGAATTCTTGACTTTCAAATATATTTATTAAATTACATTCATGAAGGATATTTTTAATACAATTCAACCATTGAGCATTATAGTTTATAATCATTTTATACATTTTATTACTTAATTTATTAGGTATTGGTTCTAACAATTTGGCCCAAAATCCAATCATTCTAACTTTGATATTTATACTCAAGGAAATCTTCCTAATTC